AAGAAAGAAAGAAAGAAAGAAAGAAAGAAAGAAAGAAAGAAAGAAAGGACATAAACCAAATAGCTGCCTGCCCACTTTTGTTGAAAGAAAAGAAAGGGGAAAGGAAGAGAGAAAGGAAGGAAGAAAGGAAAGGAAGAGAGAAAGAAAGGAAAGAAGGAAGGAAGGGCATACACCAAATAGCTGCTGCCCACCTTTGTTGAAAGAAAAGAAAGGGGAAAGGAAGAGAGAAAGAAAGGAAAGGAAGGAAAGGAAGGAAAGAAAGAATTGAAGGACACAAACCAAATAGCTGCCTGCCCACCTTTGTTCACATAACTTTATCACAAACCTACTTGCATTCTCCACTCTAATACAGCATTGTAAAGTCTTCTTATTCTTCCTCACTAGATCCTTTCCTAATTTTAAGATCTCTCTCTCTCTCTCCCCCCACCCCCTTGGCAACGAGGGCCAACAGGCAGGAGGATGAGCCACGGCCCAGCCTCCCCTCGGAGGACTTACCTGCTCTTCGTGCAGAACGACCTGGCCTTGGAGGGGGCTGCCGAGGGGGGCCAGCTGGACGAACGGTTGCCACAGGCCCCGAAAGGTTCGCGGGAAGAGGTCGTAGAGGTCCAGGCAGTAGCCGGTTTTCCCCGATGCGTTCATGAAATATAAGGAGACGGGGTTGCAGGTGGCCACGTAAAGGGAAGTCCCGTCTTCGCGCTCTTTAAGCAGGGCAAAAACAAAAACAGGGAAGGTGTTAAGTTCAGGATGGCTCTACAATCAAAACTCATCGCTAGGATCCTCATCAGAGACCTGTCGGGATTACGGCAGTTGCCCTAATTAAATCATGAGCCTCGATCCAAGCTTCAAAAACTTCAAAAGATTTATTAGGAGCGAACATGTCGGCATGACCTGGATGAAGCCGATTCTGAGACACGTGACTCACTATCTCCTATGACCCTGTTTTTCCTCCACTCCTCTGGTTGTATCATAATTCATATTCTCCAACGAAACACGTCCATAGCCAAGAGTCATCAATCATGTTCTCCAATTAGAGATTTCCGGTTGCTTAGTTATAATCTTTGCACCAAGACAAATTCCTTGTGTGTCCAATCACACTTGGCCAATAAAGAATTCTATTCTATTCTATTCTATTCTATTCTATTCTATTCTATTCTATTCTATTCTATTCTATTCTATTCTATTCTATTCTATTCTATTCTATTCTATTCCAATATTCTACTCTACTCTACTCTACCACATTTTGGACAAAACCCCCCAAACATTTTGGATAAGACTGCTTGTGGATGTGAGGCAATTACGCTTATCCTTTGGGTGCTTATCTAACCAGGCGAAAGGATTAGTCATACAGCAAGAGAGGAGGGAATAAATAAGGATTAGTCTGCAGAATGCTTGCCCTACTACACAGTTTAACCGTTTAAGAGGGAAGTAGGGGAGTTGTGCTTAACCTCACGACCGCATTAGAGAGAAAACATGCAAAAGGACAAGTCTTCGGGGACAGCTTAATTTGCAAAATAATTCCTGCTAATATCAGTTTAAATTACTTGCGCCCACTTCTCAAATCGTTACTTACTCACATGGGCAACTCTTACCTTGTGACACCACATCGCACACGAAGTTAACCTCGTTCAAAGGCAGGGTCCAGAATGCCAGCTCTTCCGTGAAACTCAAGGCCCTGGCTTCGTGCCTTTCCAGGGGGAAGGCCTGCACATTTAAATGGATGGGACCCTACAAGCAAAGAAGGAAAATCCTGAGCCCCAAAACTGGAATGTGTTTTGTTTTGCCTCCCAGGTGCCATTAAATATGTAAATAAGGGGTCCCCAACCTTGGCAACTTTAAAACTTGTGGACTTCAACTCCCAGAATTCTCCAGCCAGCATAGTTTAAAGTTGCATAGTCTTAAAGTTGCCAAATTTGGAGACCTCTGACATCAATGAAATAAACTGCAATGGGTTGGTCAAAATTTAGGTGTTCTGCCACCAAATTGAGTAACGATTGTTAAGAATATAAGTCACCTAACAGGTATTTGGGTTAGAAATATATAAACCAGGATAAACATTTTAAAACTGTATCTTTAAGAAAATGCAAAGCTGTAATTAGGTGTGGTTTCTCAAACAGCCATAAGACGGAGCCAGAAACCTGGGTTGTTTTGCCTTAGTCTCAGAAGAGAGTGTGAGTGTATCTGTTTCCTTCTGTTGGTGAGTATTGCCATTTCTTCTAATTGATTGATATTACTGGATTTAATGTAAGTCTGTTACTGAACTGTTTTTGACACTGGACTTTGTTATTGAATTATCCCTGGATTGAAAACTGACTGATTTAACCTGTGAATGACTTTGGACTGCCTATTTTGGACTTTGCTTAACGTTTCTGGAAGTAAAAGCCTACATTTACTGTACAGTGTATCTGTGTGCTCTGTGTGTATTATTCAAACACTTCTCTCAAATACGTCTCCCTGTATGCGCTCATTCTCCTAATGGAGAATTACCTCAACACTAATCATTGTAGGATTTTAGAATAATCCATTCTGGACTGTTCACTTTAGACCGCTGAATATTGCTTTTGTCTTTTAATTGACCCCATAATCCCTTGCATCGGGGTGGAGTTCGGGGCAACTGAAAGGAACTGAGTATTTACTGGCCGGATGCCCTTTCTGTCTCCAATGCAGAGTTCGCAGCTGATATTTACTCATTGTGCCCAGAGAAAGAAATCCCTGCCGCTACCTAGGATTGAACTCAACGCTGAATATTGCTTGATTATACTAAATCCTTTGTGATCCAACAATCCACATCTTCTTTCTCTAATTTGAAAATACGATAGCTCGTAATCAGCTTGGATTCCAAGGTTCTTTTTTTTTTTTTTTTTAATATGCAGCTTTGTTATTTGCCTTCAGCGCCCTTTAGATTTGCCAGATTGGAAATACTTAAACCCGGTTAAACATGCAGGTTTATGGTCAATATTAAGTTTGAAGGATCCTCAGTGCTTTTTCTGCTTGGTGGCTTTCTTGCAGACCTTTCATTACCCAGCTAGGTGACGTCAACTAGGTGACGTCATCAGTTTGCTAGAGCAAACCCCACTCCTTCTAGCACTGATGATGTTACCTAGTTGGGTAACGAAACGTTTGCAAGAAAACAAGCAAGCCCAGAGACCACCAAGGACTCCATAGTCGTCGTCCTCCTCCTCCTCCTCCTCCTCCTCCCTGTAAACCCAATTCTCATCTAGCCCTGATGATGTTACCAAGTTGGGTAATGAAATGTCGGCAAAAAAATCACCAAGCTCAGAGATCACCAAGGACCCCTCATTTCCGCCCCAAATATTCTCCTCTATCAATCTAAAACTTGAACCAAATTTCACAAACCTTCACGTCGACGCGATGGGTTTCAGTTGGACACAACAGTCTTCGGCGCGATTTCCCCAAATGATTCATTTTCCAGTAGCCCATAAATTTGGTATCTGGCAATGGCAATCTGACCAAGGAAAAAAATATAGCGCTATAATTAATTTGACCCACATTTTTCTCAGTTGACAATACTTCCCCCCCACCTTCTCGTTAACAGAATGTTAACCACTTGCAACAGAGTCTTAAGATGACAATGCTACTTTGCAGGATGGAATTCCACTTGGGAATTTTTCTGAATAGGAAAAAAAGGTTTCATGGTAAAACATAAACTAAGTTCTGACATACTAAATAAGTCCTTAATGGAGAAGCAGCACCAATTATATTGTTAGGAAATATGAGCAGTTGTTTTTTTTATAAAACAGCATTTGAAGATCTGGAATTGAGACTTTGGGAAAATGAAATATTTGAAGTTTTTAACAGATCATACACAGATCAAACTATGATTCCCATCCAGCTAGAATTGTTAATATTAGTATTTATAATTATTTCTACTTAATGAGTCTATAGAAACACACCTGTTCAAGTTAATACTCTGCCTTCAAAATACAAATCAAAACACGTTTCGAGTTAGCTATAAACGAGGGGTGCTTTTCCTTAGAAAATATTACTATTTGAAATAATAATTATTAAATAATTTTAATAATTTGAATTGATCAATGAAGTTTGCAATCACAACAGACTTCTACTATGAACGCTCTTTCTTTCTTTCCTTCCTTCCTTCCTTCCTTCCTTCCTTCCTTCCTTCCTTCCTTCCCTTTCCTTTCCTTTCCTTCTTTTTATTTATTTTATTTGTCAAGCATGTTTTAGATAACAGATATAATTCGAAACACGATTAAGAGTACATGAAATGGGTACGAATAACAGGGGACATTAGGACAGAGACGATAGGCACATTGGTGCGCTTATGCACGCCCCCTACAGACCTCTTAGGAAAGGGGTGAGGTCAATAGTAGACAGTCTAAGGTTAAAGTTTTTGGGGTTTTGGGAAGAGACCACAGAGTCAGGTAGAGTATTCCAGGCATTGACCACTGTTGCTGAAGTCGTATTTCCTGCAATCGAGTTTGGTGCGGTTTACCCTGAGTTTGTATCTATTGTTTGCTCTTGTATTGTTATGATTGAAGCTGAAGTGTTCATTGACAGGTAGGACATTGCAATGTATGATTTTATATACTATAGTTAGATCGGACTGAAGGCGGCGTAGTTCTAGGTTTTCTAGCTCTAGAATTTCAAGTCTGGTGGCATAAGGTATTCTGCAATGAGTAGAGGAGTGGAGAACTCTTCTTGTGAAGTATTTCTGGACTTTCTCAATTGTATTAATGTCCGATATGCAATGCGGGTTCCAGACAGATGAGCTGTATTCAAGAATTGGTCTAGCTCCGTGATGGCGAACCTATGGCACGCATGCCAAAAGTGGCACGCAGAGCCATTTCCCCCCGGCACACGAGACCTCACCCAGAAGAGCCCCACTGCGCATGAATGCGCACCGCTATAACCTGACAGCTGATTGTTGGGTATCTGGCACGCATGCACAGGGGGCGGGGGTGCACGGGAGACAAGTGCGCATGCGCAGAGACAGGCGGCCTGTGGGGGGATCAAGCGTGCATGTGCAGATGGATGGCACACAGGGGTGATCGTGCGCGCATGCGCAGAGATGCACAGTGCAGATGCATTGCGCACAAGGGAATCTCGCAGGCAGGCGCGTGGCGTGTGGCAAGGGGATTGTACGCACATGCACAGATGCACAATGTGCTGTGGGGGGGTTGGGTGTGCATGTACAGGGGTGTGTGTGGGGACCCAGCATGCACTGCTTTCTGGGAGCTGGCACGCAAGCGCACAAGCGCGCATGCAATTATTGGCACGGGAGCCGAAAAAGGTTTACCACCACTGGTCTAGCATCTGTTTTGTGTTGTGTTTCGCCGGCAGCCTGTGCAGACAGCAGTGGAATCGGACAGTGGGGAAGAACGGGGACTAGTTTATCTGGTTATCTGTCCAAGAGGCCTCAACGACTCTCAGAAAGAGCGCTAACAACCAGAGGACTGCAAAGAACATAAATTCTTCCATTCTCCACCGTTTAATCAGAACGGAAGAAGCTTTCTGGATGAGAAGCGAAGCGCCTTCAAGAAAAAGCAAAGAAAATTCCAGTTGCCTCTTGAAAAAAGCACCCTTGGGTCAACAGAGAACTGTTTTACAATGTTGTGGCTCGCCGGAGCTGGTGCAGACAGCAGTGGAATTGGACATTAGGGAAGAACGGGGACCAGTCCAGGAGTTTGGGGAGGACTCAGACAAGGGCCCTGTGTCCAATGCAGAGATGGGGCCAGGACCATCTGGGAGTCGGGTGCTGCCTCTGAAACCTCTGGAGTCTGGCAGCAGCGAGGCAGAGGACCCAGGGGAGCCTGTTCCCAGTGCATGTGAGTGCAGAGCTGCCAGAAGGCAAGAGCAGCTGAGGCAAAAGTGGCTACTCGGGAGTAAGGCTGGGGAGTGATTGCCCCTCCCATAAAGGATAAAAGTCAGGCCAAGATGACGAAACCTTTGCAGGAAGCAAAGTCATTCGATCCGTTCCGAGTCATCTTTGAAGCTCTTTGTACTTCGGTTGGTTTTTCTTGTACTTCAGTTGGTTTCTTTCCTAGTTCATTGGATACTTCTGTTTTTGGCAGCACTTCACAGAACTGAAAGGCATGTGCTTATCTTGGGGGATTGTTTAAGATTAGTTCTGGCTAGGAATGAAAACAATTCCCAGCATTGCAATAAAATATGTTTTGTTTTTAAAACAAGTTTGTGAATAACTATTTATGAAGCCTGGGTCAGAACAGTTTTGCGTGCTCTAGTTAGCAGTACAATATTACCAGCGAAGAAGCTATGCTAGATTAAGTTAACTCTCCTTCTGATGCTATTATATTACAACAACAGTTCACACTTGACCAAAATAAAGTCTCTTTTGAAGGACTTTTAAACTTTGGAGAGCAGGGAACGATTGCAACTGTTGTCCTTGTAATCCAGCAACCGAAAGGGAAAAAGTAAATGTCAAATAACAAAAGTCTGGACGTGCAGCCAAAAGTTGTCTCCGCTTGAGTGCTTTCAGTGGTAACAGATGAAGATGATGTTTGCACAGAACTAAACATGGAAACTGGGCAACCAACGCGCAGACCGTTCCGTGTGAGTCACCCTCTTGTTTGAATTTCTGCTGTGTCCTTTACACAACCGCGTAAAAAGCTCCTTAGATATGTACAGGGAGAAAGTGTGAGATGGTTCTTCAACTTCTAGCAGCCACTAACCACGTTCTTCAACTTTTAGCAGTCACTAACCACGTTCTTCAACTTTTAGCACTAACCACTTTCCTCAACTTCTAGCAGTCACTAACCACGTTCTTCAACTTTTAGCAGTCACTAACCACGTTCCTCAACTTCTAGCAGTCACTAACCACGTACTTCAACTTTTAGCAGTCACTAATCTACGGACATTTCAAAATTGTCAATCTCAACGCAGCCCAATGTTTCTGCTAAAACAAGACATCTGTGAAGTGAACTTTGCCCTGTTTTACGACCTTTCTTGCCACAGTTCATTAAATGAATCACGACAGTCATTAAGTTTGTAACACGGTCGTGAAGTGAATCGGATGTCAACTCATAAAACATCCCTATGCCTGTTTTAGTAGTTGCCATAAAAAAAGGGGAGGGGGAGAGGACGAAGGAAATCTGGAAGAGCGGTGCAGCAATTTGGAAGCGGAAATACATTCCAACTCTTCTCTTTAAAAGATTGTAACTAAACTACCAGAGCTTTTGCCCGTGAATATATTTAATTGGAGAACATGATTAATGACACCCAGCTTGTGAATGTGCTCAATTGGAGAATCTGATTTATGACACACTCGGGGGGGAGGAAACAGGGTCACCGGTGACTGTAAATAAGTGGAAGGGCTTACCCATTATCAGAGGCATCTTGGGTAAAGAGTAGGAATGTCCAGACCAATCACCTTATAGCAAGATTCCATGCAGAAAATCCAACCAAGGCTGGGGGGTGGGGGGGGGGTGTGTTGCAACCCTAAATTCTACATCTGCACTCAATTTGTTTTTGCTTTACACAGGTCACCTTCAAGAAGTGAGAGGAGCCGAATGTCAACTCATCAAACATTGCTATGCCTGTTTTAGTAGTTGCCATAAAAAAAGTGGGGAGAGGAAGGAAATCTGGAAGGACAGTGCAGCAGTTTGGAAGTGAAAGTACATTCCAATTCTTCTCTTTAAAAGATTGTAACTAAAATACCAGAGTTTTTGCCCGCAAATAACGTGAATGACACCCAGCCTGTGAATGTGCTCAATTGGATAATCTAGTTTATGACACACCTGGGGGGAAAGGGGAAACAGGGTCATAGGTGACTGTAAATTACATAGGCTAGAGTTGGCTTCATATAGGGCAGTGCCAGTATGTCGCCTCTAATAAATCCTTTGAAGTTTTTTGAAGTTTGGCTTGAGAATCATGATTTCATTAGGGCGATGGCTGGAATCCTGACATCGGGCTTTCTCCGTTGGTTTTGTGCATCCGAAGGTCGCAAAACGGGATCACGCAACCCCGGGGACACCGCGACCTGTCATAAGTATGAGCTGGTTGCCAAACATCTGAATTTTGATCATGTGAGTGTGAGAAATGGTCACAAGTCATTTTTTTTTCAGGGCTGTTGTTAACTTTGAACGGTCACTAAACAAACACATTTAAGGGACCGCTGGTTCAAAATTGGGAAGCCATTGAATTAGTATCTGCAATTCTGCCTGTGAGATTTTACTCAGTTAATGATGATTCTAGAGATGGTTTATTCAAACCACTGAATGAGATTTATAGCAAGAAAAGTAGATTTTGTCTTCCTCATCTCAAAAAACAAACAACATAACCACCAATTTTTTTAAGTCTGTTTCGCATAACCTTTCCAAGCATAAAGGGAAATACTTGTTTTAATTGAAGATGGTTTCTGAGCTTTAAAAATATGATCATGTAAAGTACGATTATTATTATTTATACACATCAAGGTACCTGTTTGATGTTCAGTGAATAAGCACTCCATAACACAGGGTGTCCATAAACACCATTAAGCAAACTGGATACCATGAAAAAGAATCTGGAATATTGCAAGGTCGAAGAAATACGAGAAAACTTTGGTCTAATTGGGAGCAACGGTGTCTGTTATTCATAAACTTTTGTTAAAATACAAAAATATGTCAGCGTGGGTGATTTGCGTCATTGGTTTAATGACATCATTACAAAATGATATTGCTCACCAGAGACATTTGACTGATGCCAGGCAAAACCTATTGAAACAAGATCTTTTGAAGTTTTTGCAGTACTTTTGGAAAATTTGTCCCATGCAGGATTAAAAGCCAAGTCAGTTCATTCATTTCCATTTTTTTTTTAAACTGCTACAAACCGGCTTCGTACACATAACAGCAATAAATTAGCAAAAGACCAATGAATGAATAGAAACCAAGAAGAATCAAACAAATATTTCCCTTTATTTATTTCCATTGCACAAATCACCAAGGTTAATTAGATTTAAAAAAACAAACAAAAAACAAACAAACAAACCACGACTCCTCCATTGAAACATATTGCTGTATCCCGTAAAGATACACACTGATAAATGTTGTGTAAATAAATAATTACGCAACCGAATGGCCCTTTTCGGAGGAAACATGGAATCTGCTTCAAGCATTTCCAGGTTTTTAGAACTAGCAGCAATACGGCAGACAATAAGCCTTACTCCTTTGCCATCTGTACGTTGTCGGGTTTGGCTCCGATCGGTATTCCGTGTTTATGCAAAGTCCTAATTAATATCTCACGCATTTCTTTGTTGTAGGAGTCAAAATCAAAGACGTTCCGAACCACGTTGGCAAGTCCTTCGGTTGGAAACTTCTGCAGAGATGAAGAAAGAGACAGAAAAACAAAACAAAACACAAGTGTGAGTTTGTTGTCAGTGATGGAAAGGGCGACTTGAAAGCTGGTTCCGTTACACAAAAAAAATAACAATCTAGGTCCGTGATGAGGAACCTATGGCACGCGCCTCCCAGCTGGTTTGAGGCCTGTTTGAGGCCTTTTTCGGCCTCCCAGAGGCTGGAGGGAAACCTCTGCAGCCTTTGCAGGCCGAAAAACGGGCCCGTTTCATCACTTCAGGCAATTCCGGTTTCGTCACTTCCAGCATTCGGAGGCCGAAAAATGGGCCCGTTTTTCAGCCTCCAAAGGCTGTTGAGGCTTCCCTCAGCTTCCTTCCGAAAAAGGCCTCAAATGGGCTGAAAAACGGGGTGGTGGCGGTGGTGCATTGCATTGTGGGTGCCGGCGCACGCGCTCGCTTTTGGCACACCACCACAAAAAGGTTTGCCATCACTGATCTAGGTGTTCACTATGCTCTCCCTGGATTGCCATACCCAGAAACATATTTTTCAAGCCTTTAGACCCGTGGTGGGATTCTACCAGTTTCCCTACCGTTTTTGGTGAGCGCGCACAGCTTTCCAAACACCAGCTGAGAGGATAAAGAAGAGAAAAGCGCAGACTCGTGAAACCTAGTGAGGAGGAAGGACTCCCTGGAGAAGAGCCTAATGCTGGGAATGATGGAGGGTAGTAGAAGAAGAGGAGGGGAATGGCAGAGGAGGAGGGGGCTGGATGGAGTCCCTGAAGCAGTCGGCGTGAGCTTCAATGGACTCCAGAAGATGGCGGGGGACAGGAAGGCCTGGAGGATCATTGTCTATGGGGTTGCGATGGGTCGGACATGACTTTGCAACTAACAACAGCAAAGCGGTGGGAACTATATTACAGTATATTATGTGAATGGAGAGAGCTACTAAAGGAGGAAAAGGTTAGCTGGAGGTCATCTATAGAGTCTCCTGACCACGGGATGTCCCGTTTGTTTTTCCGAGGCACATTTTCTTCCTTGCTTTTCAGACGTGCCAATGATGCAAAATAACTTCATTCGGCTGTGAACTGAAAGGGAAGATCCAGAGCAGCCAGGTGATAAACTAAATAAATCATGCTGCGAATATGCACATCCTGAAGCTTGACTTTTGCCTGCCAGCAGTATAAACACCTTCTAACTCAAAACAGACTTACGTTTGTATAAAACCAAACCTGATTTCGCGGCAGAAGGCTTAGCAGAGCCACACAATAATAGAAACAGACATTGTGTATGGCTTAATTTCCTTCCTCCGTCTTCAAGCTGTGAGATTGTTATCACTTCCCTCCTTCCTTTCATCCCAACTGGTTCCCATTACCTGCTGGACAGGGGAGGGGGATGCCTGTGTGCCCTAAACCAGAGGTCGCCAACCTTTTGGACCTCAGGGACCGCCAAACCCATAATTTTAAATCCCGCGGACCAGAGACCCTGGGAAAATCCCCCCCAAAAGTCTGCCGGAAAATCCCCCACCCCGTTTTCCTACCGATCGATTGTTCTTTATTTGGGATTGCAGGATACCGTCTCCAGCTCCGTTCTCAGGGGGAGAGACAGAGAGAGAGAGAGAGAGAGACTTTTGGCTTCATGCAAGGAAAACAGCAGAAGCAGCAGATGTCGTTTTTTCTCTCCCCCAAACTCCGCCAGAAATGAGTCTTTGCCGGTGCAGCCTTTTGGAGCAGGAGGACTTGCAGAGTCCCCAAGACTCCTTTCTGGCAGAGTTTGGGGGAGAGAAAGAAAGACTTTGGCTGCTTTCCTTGCGTGCAGCCAAAAGCAGAAGAAAGAAACAGAAAGAAGCAGCCCGGTGGCCAGGCCAGGTGCGTGGGGTGCATGGGGCATGTTCCCCCCTCCAACCTTATCTCCCTATCCTCACTACGTGTTGTTCACAATGCAAGCGACGCAACCCTGGTATTCCTGCACAGCCTGGATTAATTGCTTTGGGGGTGACATTTCTCTGCGGACCACCAAAATATTATCGCAGACCACCAGTGGTTGGTGACCATTGCCCTAAACAAATTACTCCTGTTTCTCCCTGCTACTGGTTGAAGAAAATCTGAATAAATGTAGCCATTCCCCTGATCCAGGTCTCTTGGAAACCCCAGAGGCCAAGCAAACCAGAAACCTGAATTCAAAGCAGAAACCGAGTGGGTGAATTAAGATTGCCTCTTGCTTTCTGCCATAATTATGTCCGTTCCTTCCGTCATTTCTAGATTCATTTATGGAACGGTTCAACGACCAGCTTGTGGAATAATGACGGTTCTCTGGCACAAACAAGCATTCCAGGATCTTTTTTTTTTTTAACTATTTGAGTTAGAATAATAGGATTGGAAGCGACTTTGTAGGTCATCTAGTCCAACCCCCTTGCCCAAGCAGTAGACCCTACACAATTTCTGACAGAGGGCAGTCCAGTCTCTTCTTGAAAGCCACCAGGGATGAAGCTCCCACAACTTCCGAAGGCAACTTCTGTTCCATGGGTTGATGGTTCTCCCTGTCAGAAAGTTTCTCCTTATTTCTAGGTAGAATCTCTCCTTGTTCAGTTTCCATCCATTATACCTTGACTGGCCTTCAGGTGCTTTGGAAAATAGCTTGACTCCTTCCTCCTCTCTGGGGCAGCCCCTCAAATATTGGAAGGCTGCTCTCCTGTCTCCCCTGGTGGTCTGCAGAGAAATGTCACCCCCAAAACAATTAATCCAGGCTGCGCAAGAATACAAGGCTGCGCCGCCCACATGGCCCATGGGAACACAAGGCCTGCATTGCTTGCATTGCGAACAACACAAGGCAGTGAGGGGGCCCTGAAAGGCATCCTGGTCCAAGAGGCTGCGTCGGCGCAACAAGTCTCACAAAGACTCATTTCTGGCAGAGTTTGGGGCAGAGAAAGAAAGACTTCTGCTGCTTCTGCTGCTTTCTTTGCATGAAGCCAAAAGTCTTTCTCTCTCTCTCTCTCCCCCTGAGAACGGAGCTGGAGACGGTATCCTGCGATCCCAAATAAAGAACGATTGATTGGTAAGAAAATGGGGTGGGGAATTTTCCTGCAGACTTTTTTGGGGGGATTTTCCCAGGGACTCTGGTCCACAGGATTTAAAATGATGAGTTTGGTGGTCCCTGAGGTCCAAAAGGTTGGCGACCCCTGCTCCAAAGCCCCTGAAGGTAGGACAGGAAGCAACAGATGGAAAGTGATGGAAAGGAAAGAAGCAACCTGGAATTAAGGAGACATTTCCTGTCAGGGAGACCAATTAATTGGTGGAACAACTTGCCTCCAGAAATTGTGAATTGCTCCAATAATGGAGGTTTTCTAAGAGGAGACTGGACAACCGTTTGTTTGAAACAGTATAGGGCTTCCTACCTCAGCAGGGGGTTGGACTAGATGATCTCCAAAATCCCTTCCAACTCTGTTATTCTGTTCAATGTTAAGGTAGTCTTTAAAGATAATGCCTTCAATTATTAGTGAATTGTCCAGGATTAGAAACAGTCCTACAGTACCTGTAAATGCTTGACAAGGTTCACTACTTCTCGAGTCGAGTAAGGATAATTTATGATTCCTTGGTCAGCCAAACTTCGCAGCTCTCCAAAAGCAGCTACCAGTTTCTGGAGAACCAAGTCAGAAACATCAGGTCCGTACTGTCGAAGCATTGCCAGTTCTGAGTTTGGTTTAGGGTTATCAACAGCGTGACAGCTAAATATATCTCCTGGAATAAGCAGGAACAAGAAAGGAGGAAAAGGCATCCAATATGATCATTCATTTGCCGCACATAATAAAGGAGAAAACCTGTGATCCACAGGGAACTTACAGGGGTGCTGCGAGATATTTTAAATTTTTGAAGAAAGCACAACAGGTTTAAGCTTAGCTTGCTGACTAAGCTACTCCTAGCTCCTTCAAAATGGAGCTTGTTTTTGACTTGCATTCTTAAGAAAGAAAGATCTGTAGCTCCGGTGGTAGAGGTTGTTGTTGATTTGTTCTCTCAGCTTGTTGTTTAGTTTCTGAACGTTTCATCACCAGGGTAGGTAACATCATCAATTACCTGGTTGAAGTGTCCTGTTTCAGTTTTCTTTGGTTTGATAGGTCTTATGTATGTAGTGGATAATGAGGAAGAACATGGGCCAGTCCTGGAGTCTGGGGAAGGCTTTGACGAGGGTTCTGCGTCGGAGGCAGAGATGGAGCTGTCCGACAGTTATCAGCTGCCTTTGGAGTCAGACATCAGTGAGAAAGAAGAACAGCTGGAGCCTGTTCCCAGTGTGCGCATGCACAGAGCTGCCAGGAGAAGGGAACAGCTAAGGAACAAGGGTCGACTCAGGAGTAAAGCCACAGGTGGACGGTGAATGGCCCCTCCCACAGGGAATAAAGAGGAGTGAAAAGGGAGTGGTGTTTGCAGGAGACAATTAGTTCAATTCATTAGGGTAAAGATCTGTTCCTGACTTCTTGCCAAGTAATTGCTGCTACAGCATGGCGTTTGGAAGATATCGGCCTGGCAGCTCTGCAAGCCTGATAAAGGTCTGTAGTTGTGAAATCTCTTTAAAGACTGTTGGCCAGGACTTTGCTGGAGAGGAATTCATTTTAACCTAAATAAAAGGGGTTTTATCAGGATGAGGAGTCGGCTTCATGATCTTGGGAAGCTTCGGTCAGAACAATGCGGTCACGTATCCAGCTGGTGTGACCACATCACATGGCGTAACCGACTCACCACATAATCATAATACAATAAGGATAATAATAAAATTATACCACATAATAAACAGGACAATCAACCAAAGTTCCTGGTGACAAAACAATTGGAAACTAAACAAGTTCGGAGAACAAACCACCACTAATTTACATTCTTTTTTTTTTGGGGTGGGGGGGAACATTTTTCTAGGAAAATTATGCATGGCCCAAAATACATATTTCTTTTTCCAAACAGCAAAGGAGTCTAAAATAAAGAAATGATTTTAATACACCTAAATTAGTAGCTTCCTTGGAGTTTTCTTTTTCTTCCTGCAGTCAAGACTCATGAAACAAAAGTAGCATTTCCCCCCCACAGATAGGACCATAAAATAGAAGCTTTTACACAGTGCCTGACTTACCAAGGGTTCCAAAAAAGTCATTCCCCAAGAAAGGGAATCCTGGCCTGTTTGCTAAAACAATCATCCTAAAATCCGGATGAATTACTATGACATTTTTTCTCCCATCGGCGGCGGTAGGATCTGGAAGTTAAACAAACAGAATTAGCATTTTCGTTCTGACTTTATTCCAGAGAGAAAAATGACATGCTTATCAGATAACAGGTAATCAGAGTTGGAAGGGACCTTGTAGGTCATCCAGTCCAACCCCCCACCCAAGCGGGACACCCTATACCATTTCTGACAGATGGCAATCCAATCTCTTCCTGAAAGCTTCAAGGGATGAAGCTCCCATAACTTCTGAAGGCAACTTCTGTTCCATGGGTTGATTGTTCTCACTGTCAGAAAATTCCTCCTTATTTCCAGGCTGAATCTCTCCTTGTTCAGCTTCCATCCATTATTCCTTGTCTGGCCTTCAGGTGCTTTGGAAAATAGCTTGACCTCTTCCTCCTCTCTATGGCAGCCCCTCAAATACTGGAAGACTGCTATCCTGTCTCCCTTGGTCCTTCTCTTCCCTAGACTAGCCTTGCCCAGTTCCAGTAACCATTTTATTTTTTCAGAGGTCAGAGTCCCAAACCCCACTCCCTTCTGGCACTGATAATGTTCCCTAGTTGGGTCATGAAATATCTAAAAATAATAATAATCAAAAGATAGCAAAGAGATAACAGGTACGGGCTCCGTATAGCAACATAGCAATCAGTCTCCATAAACTATAAATCTATTAAACTGCTATAAATTCAACTGTTTTATTTGAATTCTTAAAGATAGTTTAATAGTAACAGTTAAAAGAATATAACATTCTTATTTGTTCAGGTGCTATTCAGATCAAAGGGCAAACTAGCAGGCCAAATTACATATTACTTTAGGAACTTGGGGCCACAGTGTATGCTATTTTAAACATACAGCCAGTAGCTATTTATATTTTTAGTTATAAGTCCAGAATAAAGATAAAAGGAACTAGATCTGGATTGGAAGTAGGGGAGGCCAGGATATTTTAGAGATTTTTTTTGGTTTTGCATCATATCCTAGCATTTTTCCCGCAGGTGTAAGGTCTGATTAATTTTTTTTTTGCATGATTTATGCTAAAGATTATACAAATGACAGGTGTGAATATCTGTCCCTGATTATAACAGTGTTAAATGAAAGGCAGGAAAACAACAGATCTCTCTGGGCTTATTCTAGAGCGAGAAAGCTGCTAATGTGCCTGTTGAACTCTTGTTTGTATTCTTTAAACAAAAAACCAAAATTGTTGCATTTTCCATGATGTACTGTATATTTAAAACTAGCATAGTTCCCTACGGAACTATGTGGTCGGGCTTAGTTTTTGGGGAGGAAAAATAAGGGGAAAAAATTCTGCCTCTGCCTACCAGCATCCATTGGTATTCATCTGGCTAGCGTCCTGTCAGTGTGTGAGAGAATGGAGGGCTGTTTGGAAACTGAAACAGTATTTGCTGTGTGAGCAAGGAGACAGCAAGGAGCCTGGGTGTAGCTTAGCTCAACTGTTTTGTATTAAAGCTGCTTGGTGCTGCTGTGAAACTGAAACTCCTCTGCTTGTGCTTTGCATTTGGAAGATATTTCTTTTCAGGTGGGGAGGGGGAGTAGAACTCCTTAGCATCAGAGCGTGTTAATAATAATAATAATATAGGAAATTCTAATGCTCTGATGGTCATTTAGAAAAATCCTTTCTTAGTGAGCCCCTAGAAGCCAAGAGGGACATATGGGCCAAATTTCAAGATGGTAGTCTTTATGGTTCTGGAGATTTTGTGATGATGTGTGAGTGGTCTTATCTATCTATCTCTATCTCTATCTCTATCTCTATCTCTATCTCTATCTCTATCTCTATCTCTATCTCTATCTCTAATCTATCTATCTATCTATCTATCTATCTATCTATCTATCTATCTATCTATCTATCTATTTACCTACCTACCTACCTACCTATCTACTGTCTGTCTATATCTATCGATTAGTATAAATTAATAACTAATCCCCTCCATTTCTCTGAAAAAAAAATTACACCCCCTCGTGCATATGTTATAAACAGCTCTTGATTTATTCGTCTACAATAAAGCCGGTGATGCTTTCTCTCTGGGGCCGCTTACTCGAAACAATGCGTCTCCCATCTGACAGAATCATTTCTCCGCTCTCCACCAAAGTTTTCAGGATGCAGGTAACGTTGGTGGGCGCCTTGTCTGCCTCATCAATCATCAGGATGTGCCCTTTTTTGACGGCTTTCACCTAGGAAGGGATGATGTGAAACGAGACAAAACGTTTGCAGAAAATAAATGCCCCACACAGGGTATCCATTCTGATACAAGGGCTTCTTTTATTATTGTGGACGAGGCCAGCAAAGCAGAGAAGATTCCCAGGTCATTCCAACGAAGAAAGAAAAATCCGATCTCTATTTCCAATGTTTGATGGATGGGGATCAGAAGTAAACAAGACCTATAAATCGTTCTCACTCTCATTCATCTGTTTTCCTGTCTATCTTCCATCCATCCATCCATCTCTCATTTATCTCATCTGACCCATCCATCTGTCCTTCTGTCCATCATTTATCTGGTCTGTCTGTCTATCCATTGATCCATCAGTCTGCTATATCTATCTATCTATCTATCTATCTATCTATCTATCTATCTATCTATCTATCTATCTATCTGTGTCTGTCCGTTTGTATGTATCTCTGTCTGTCTGTTTGTCTATCTCTGTATCTCTCTCTCTCCCTCTCTCTAAATCTCTTCCTCTATCTATCTACCGGCATCTATCTATCTATCTATCTATCTATCTGTCTGTCTGTCTGTCTGTCTGTCTGTCTGTCTGTCTGTGTGGTCTATCGGGTCTGTCTATCCATTCATCCACCCATCTATCTCTCTATCTCTATCTCTATCTCTATCTCTATCTCACATCACATCACATCACATCACATCACATCACATCTATCTATCTATCTATCTATCTATCTATCTATCTATCTATCTATCTATCCATGTCCGTCTGTATATATTTCTGTCTGTCTGTCTATCTCTGTATCATGCTCTCTCTCCCTCTCTCTAAATCTCTCCCTCTATCTACCAGTATCTAAGTTTCTGTCTGTCTGTCTATCTGTCCGTCTGTATGTATTTCTGTCTGTCTGTCTATCTCTGTATCTCCCCCCCGCCATATCACTCCCTCTATCTACCAGTATCTATCTATTTCTCTCTCTGTGTGTCAGTCAGTCTGTATCTCTATCTATGTCTGTCTGTCCATCTCTCTGTCTCTGTATCTCTCTGTACCTATCTCTCTGTCTATATTCCGCTATCTATCTGTCTGTCTGTCTGTCTGTGTCTATCTATCTACTTACCTATCTATCCAGCTGTCCATCTTTTGTTATGTCTCTCTTCATCCGTCCATCCATCCGCCCATCTACCTACCTACCTACCTACCATCTATCTACCATCTACCTAAAAACGTATTGTAACGTATAATGTAATGTATTTAAGACTCAGTTTTCCTAAAACGTGAGGAGAGCCCGGAATTCATCAGGTGCTCCACTCCGCGAGGGCCACAGCACGAAGCCCCGTGTGCGTGTGCGTGAGTGCGTGTGTGTGTTTGTGTCTCAGAGTTCACCGAGGGGAAGGACAAGCTGTGGTCCACCCGGGGAGACTTACGAGGGGGGAGTCTTCATACACGATCAGGCCCTCTTTCACGGAAGGCTGCAGCGTCAGGCTCTGCACGGTGGTGTCCCTAGGGAAGGAAAACAGGCACAGGTTTCTACGCAAAGACCCCGGCTGACAGCTATCAGTGCATTGTGTGGAAAGTGTGTGTGTGTGTGTGTGTGTGTGTGTGTGTGCGTAAAGAGAGAGGGAGGGGGAAGCTGCATTTTCTAGCACGCTGTCCTATTTTTCTACCTCCCTAATTCACAGAAGGAGGCAGTACGTTTCAGTTCCCTTTTAGTTGATTTTTGTAGGTCACCCACCTAAAGGCGAGTAGCAGATGCCACAAAAAGCCACAATATTCAAGCTGGGGATTTGGATTCCAATTGGAGAAACCTAAGGGCGTTAAGCAGATCTGGAAGGCAGGTGGTCCTCGACTTATGAACACAGTAGAGATTTTCTTCCAGAATTTCCATTGCTAAGCGGTTGTTTAAATGAATTCTGCCCAATATGACGACCAATTTTGGGCACACATACACACATACGGAGAGAGAGATGATAGATGTAGATGATAGCTAGATAGATAATAGATGATAGCTAGATGATAGCTAGATATAGATGATAAACAAATAGACAGACAGATGATAGATAGATGATAGATAGATATAGATGATAGATGATAGGTATAAATGATCGAGATGATAGATGATAGACAGATAGATATAGATAATAGATAGATGATAGATGACAGACAGACAGATAGATGATAGATAGGTAGGTAGAATTGGAGATAGAATAGGGAGATAGATAAGATAGACAGATAGATAAAAAGAGGTAGACAGAGATAGAATTGGGAGATAGAAAGACAGATAGACAGACAGACAGACAGACAGATATATAAAATCTCTTCAGATTGTTTGTATGTGTTTGTGTGTGTGTGTGTGTGTATGCGCACACACACTCATACAGAATCTGAAGGGAAACCAGAGTCCCTCTCTGACAGAGAGAGCAGTTAAGAAACATAAAATGTAAATAAATGTTTGTTTGTTTTTTTAATTAAAAAAAAAAGCCTTTTGCCTAACCCCAAAAGTTGACAGCAAGAATCCCACCATCCAAAGCTGGGCTTACCTGTGCAGCTGCAAATATTCCCTGGGTCGATTCAACAGGTGAAGGAATCTGTCGACAATTTTATTTTTCCCCACGCCCTGCAAACCACAAGGCAACCACAATGAGGAATGATTTGAGGGGTGAAGATAGGGAGGAACAGCCTACTAAATTCGGGAGCTAAAATGAGAAAAGCCCTGAGTTTCTGGCACTAAAACACCAGGCTACATTATTGGAGAGACATACAACGTTATTACAATCAGGCTAAAACCCACATAAAACCAGTATTAAATCAAGGGGCTTCTGGCAAACATTACAGCGTCAATTGTATTTTTAAATCAAAAGGGAAGATTGATTTTCTGCAGGGTTAACGGCTGAAAACGCCTCGTGGCTACGTTACAGATAGCCCTCAACTTTGTCCCATTTTCTTGCCACAGACATTAAGTGAATCACATGGTTGTGAAGCGAAGTCACTTTTTTTTTCAGTGCCTTCGTCACTTTGAACTGTCACTAAATGAACAGTGGTGTCATGCCCCTGTTGGAATCTGACTCGGAGGGAGAGATGGAACAGCTGACAGGGAGTGGGAGTGTGGCTCCCGTGGTTGTGGAGGAAACTGGGGAAGGGCACAGTCTGGCTGGGCATTCAGAGGAAGACCCAGGCCCATCCCCTCTTCATCCTAGGACACACAGGGAGGAGCGGATAAGGGAGAAACATGAGTGGCGTGGTCTACGGGGGAGGAAGGGGCCCTGATCCCCTTCATGGGCTGCAGCTGGGAGGACTGTTTAAAAGGACAAACTGCGCATGGCCCAGTGCTGGAAGCAAAGCGTGCATTATTCTTGTCAGAGCTTATCTATGTTTTGGCTTCCTCCCAACTGTGGTTGCTGCATTATCTGGTAGAAGTCTGCAATTAATCATCCTTGCCTACCGTAGTAATTCCTTCAGTGTGGCTTGTGTTGGGTTTTTTACTTCGAACTAACTTTACTTTGGGTGCGGACTGCATTTACTCCCTCTGTAAGCTGTTTTCTTTAAGAGTTTGATATCCAGCCGAGGATGATTGGACATTGGGGCCAAGCTGGAGGCATTAAAGGGACTTTATTCTATTTTTGTGACTTGGTTATTGTCACGCCCCAGGTCATCACAGGTGGTAAGTCAAGGACCACCTGTGCACATTGTAAATAAACTTGAAACCTACGTTAACTTGCAAACAAACAGCCTTATTTGTATTCTTAAATTAAAGGGGAAGATTGTCTATGAATATTTTTCATGCAAAGAATCCATCAGTTGCCTAATGTCCACCCACCTATAGTCAAATATCTAGGGAGGCATTTATTTTGGCATGAAATCCCATCACAGCTGCAACTAGGTTTTATTTTAAATCAGCCAGGTTTTATTAACCAAACACAATTCCCAGATAACTATTTATACACATGCACACAAACACACACAAAACACACACACACAGAGCTATCTAATTCCTCAGTTATGACTAATGGCAGTCTAGCTACTGTGTTTCCCCCGAAAACAAGACCCTGTCTTATATATATATATATTTTGCCACCCAAAAAAGGCACCAGGTCTTATTTTCAGGGAATGTCATTATCTGACTAACCTCACTTGTGTGTGTCACCCCCGGCCTCCTTTTTGCTGTCAGAGGCCTTCAGGAACTTCTTCTCCTGCAGCTGGCAAGGCATTCCTGAAGGCCCCTGCAGCCTCAGGATCGATCCAGAGCTTTCTTACCAGCCCCAGAGGCCTTCAGGAAAGCCTTGCCGGCTGCAGAAGAAATGGGCCGGCAAGGCAGGTGTCGGGGTGTGCGAGGTCGGGCTACAACTGTCCAAAGGTAAGTTCCAACCTCTCTCATCCCCACTCTAGCTTAATTTTTACCCGTCCACTCTGGAATGGGAGGGATCTTAATTAGGGCTTATTTTGGGGGATAGGGCTTATATTGGGCGCATGTGTAAAAATCAAGCTAGGGCTTACTTTCAGGGTAGGTCGTATTTTCAGGGAAACAGGGCATCAATGAGCAGGAAGCTTAAACTGTTTTATTATTTCGGGCAAGGCCGCAGCCAGATTTATTGACATTTATTTGGAAATCGCATTTACATTTTAGCGAAATTGATATGGACAAAGAATTTTGTATGTTTAAATGTAGAAAACCGATTTGATAAAGTTTGATCGTTCTTACCTGGTTACCAACTAAAAGGAGATGTTCTCCGAGCAAAAAATCTTTTAACATATCTTCCATCACCATCATATGCTAATAAAGAAAAGAGACTCACGTTTTAAAATCGGAAAGGAAATAAGCGAGGAACAAAACAACACTTATGAATGCTGTAATCATTCTTCTGAGTCAGCAGAAACAAAAATTTTATCTTTCTGTACAATCACTACTACGAGAGGTCCTGTGTGCTCCCTGAGCTGGGTTGCTTGCAGACGTTTCATTATCCAACTAGGTAACACCATCACTAGCACGGATGATGTTAGCTAGCTGGGTAATGAAACGTCTGCAAGAAAACCGCCAAACTCAGAAAGCACCAAAGACCCTTCGTTTCAAGCCTGAGATACAAATATTATTGTTTATTGGAATTGTTACTATGGTTCTGCTATTCTGGGTAGGGACTTCAATGGAAGGGAGAGAAAAGGTGGTGCTTTGGGAGTGAACAGACCAGTGTCAGGGCTCTGGCACTTACCCCCATTTAAATCATGAGTCTCTAGCCGAACTTCCAAAACTTAAAGAAGATTTATTAGGAGTAAACATACGTGTAGCCAATTTATTAGGAGTAAACCTGGGTGTAGCCAACTCTGAGACACATCATTCATTGTCACCCTTGACCCGGGTTTCCCCTCACCCCCTGGGTGTATCATAATTCATATTCTCCAATGGGACACATCCATCGCCAAGAATCATCAATCATGAGAATTTTGCTTGGCAGAAACTTCAGTCACCTAGTTACTATCTTTGAAAACATTTATGGAATGCAGTTTCAGTTTTGCAAGCTGCCGCATTGCTCCTCTTTCCCTTTCTGTTGGCAACTCTAAAGAGACCATAGAAATATTTTATGAGTTGACAACCCAGAGGTAATGCTGCACTGGGAGATGATGAAGAGTTTAGGAGAAATGGGTGTGTGTGTGTGTGTGTGTGTCACCATGTACCTTACTCGTTCCATAAAATTGTTCCAGAATTCTTATAGGACTGATGTCTGAAACCACACAGATATTTCAGGTTTCATTTCTACTCAGCCATAATCCAATCAAGATTGGCTCATCAGAACCCCGAGAACACAATACCCTTTTTTGGGATTTAAAACAGAAGACACTTTCCAGATTCTTCACAGACAATAATTAAAAAGGCAGCAATAATGCCCCCCCAATGCTCTTGGATATGTTCCAGAATTGAGCTAAATATAGTTGAAGACACACAACAGAAAAAAAGGCTAACTTCTTGACTTGGGAAAAAACCAGAAATCCACTGCACAAGTAGAGAATAGAGATTACCCCGCTGTATTTAGCTTGTAAAAATAGCTTAGGATTTAATTTTAGTCGGTTAAAAAAATAAAATAAAAGTTGAATCACTAACCTAATACGTTGCGGAAAAGGCTGGTGCAGTTTGACTAAATCAATGAAGAGCTGCCTATTCAGGTTCTCAGTCTCCCAGGGCATGGTTGTCCCAAAGGTGCTTTTTCAAGAAGCAACTGGGCTTTCTTTATTTTTCCCTGAAGAGGTTTCGCTTCTCGCCCAAAGAAGCTTCTTCAGTTCTGCAGGAATGGTGGAGAATGGAAGGATTTATATTCCTTGCCGTCATCAGGTCATTAGGATTTTCCCTCTGAGAGACATTGAGGCCACTTGGAAGTTTATCTGGTTATCTGTCCAAGTGGCCTCAACGACTCTCAGAAAGAGCGCTAACGACCAGAGGACTGCAAGGAATATAAATCCTTCCATTCTCCACTGTTCAGTCAGAATGGAAGAAGCTTCTTGGATGAGAAGCGAAATGCCTTCAAGGAAAAGCAAAGAAAATTCCAGTTGCCTCTTGAAAAAAGCACCCTTGGGTCAACGGAAAACTGTTTTGCAATGTTTTAGCTCGCCGGCAGCCGGTGCTGATGGCAGTGGAATCGGACAGTGAGGAAGAACAGGGACCAGTCAGGGAGTCTGGAGAGGATTCGGATGAGGGTCCTGCATCCCATCCAGAGATGGGGCCAGGACCATCTGGGACTGGGGTGCTGATTCTGGAGCCTGGCAGCAGCAAGGCAGAGGAACAAGGGGAGCCTCTTCCCAGTGTGCAGAGCTGCTAGAAGGTGAGAGCAGCTGAAACAAAAGGGTTGACTTGGGAGTAAGGTTGGGAGGTGATTGCCCCTCCCATAAGGGATAAAAGTCAGGCAAAGATGACAAAACCTTTGCAGGAAGCAAAGTAGTTTGATCAGTTCCAAGTCCTCCTTGAAGCTCTGGTTCATTTTTTTTCTCTGGTATTTCGATTGGTTTCTGTGATAATTGGAGACTTCTGTTTTTGGCAGCATTCCACAGCACTGAAAGGCCTGTGCTTATCTTGGGGAACTATAATTAGTTCTGGCTGGGAATGAAAGTAATTCCCAGTGTTGCAATAAAATAGGTTTTGCTTTTAAAACAAGTTTGTGTTTAAGTACGTTTGATGAAGCCTGGGTCAGAACATGCAATTATGTAGAAACCTTTATTCTGTCTTGATGGATCAAATGTCCATTTCTGGATGCCATACTAGAAGAAGGATGAGGTCAACCTAGAACAGGCTTAGAGAAGTGCAGAGGGGACAAAGAGCTGTCCAATAAAGAGAGAGTGAAGGAACTGAGTATGGTTATTCTTGAGAAGACTGAAGATAGGGTCCTTCTATCTTACATCCTATCCCCATAGGATGCACCCTTCACAACAGGCAAGCTTCCACCCTAATAGCTATTTTGGGGATCTCAAAAATGCCAAATTGCACCCGTTTTGGACCTCAACCAGAGTCTACCCTCAAAAGACAGCCAAGAGATGGTCTTCATCTGTCTGAAAGAAGAGATCTGTTGTGGGCCCGCCGGCGGCTGACGGAGCTGGCAACAGAGTCGGACAGTAGTGAGGAGGTTGGAGAGGAACCTGGGCTGGTCTTGGAGGCTGAAGAGGGCTCGGATGAGGGCTCTGCATTGGAGGCAGAGATGGGGCCAGGGCAGGCTGGCAGTCATCAGCTGCCTTCAGACTCAGACAGCAGTGAGGCGGGGGAGCTTCTGGAGCCGGTTCCCAGCCTGCGCATGCACAGGGCTGCCGGAAGAAAAGAACAATTGAGAGAGCAGGGTCGACTCAGGAGTAAGGCCACATCTTGGAGATGATTGGCCCCTCCCATAGGACATCCAAGAGACGTGAGCTCTTGCAGGAAGCAATAAGTTTGTCTTGTTGGTTCAAGCTTTGAAAAATTCTGTTTGACTTTGAAAAATTCAAGTTTGGCCTTGCCCTGCGCTTGGCAATTCATTCTCTGGCCTCTGTTCTGACCCCACACCCTTTTCCAACAAATCAAACACAATCCAAAAGGAACAGAAACCTTGTATTGCTTTTACAAAACAATTAGCTGTGATAAGCACGAGCCTTGCCAAACTGTGCAGACTGCCAAAAGATAAGAGACAAGAAATAATTTGGAATGCAAGAATCTTCAAATACAAACACAGGATACTGGAATGTCCACGAGGCTGGAGTTTCAAAACGTCTTTGCTTCCTGCAAAGAACGTCCAATCCACAGCTGGCTTTTATCTTCTTGAAGGAGGGGCCATTACCTTGCAGCCTTACTCCCGAGTCGCCCGTGCTGCTGCAGCTGCTCTTTCCTGCAAGCAATCCTTTGTGCACGCGCTCTTGGCACAGGCTCCTCGGGAACCTCCTCATCGCTGCTGCCAGCCCCCACAATCTCTGAAGGCAGCAGTCCACTCCCTGATGGTCCTGGCCCCTCATCTGAGTCCTCGCTCTCCTCAGCCGTCCGCGCCTGCTGCCGGCTAACCACAACAGGCCAAGTGCGATAAGGTGGGTGTTTTATCAACATTCCCCTGAAAGACTGTTTGCAAAGCCTGGCGGGCTGTGAATGAACATAATTCACAGCCGTGGAAATAAAAAAAGAGGTTTTGCCGGGACTTAAGAATTGTGTTTTATGCTTTCTTAAGGAAGCCTAGGTCAGAACGAGATCCAGGGATACTTACTTGAGGGTTTTCATAGAAAAGAACGTCAGGCACTTGTATGCTCTCGTAGGGATTATAAACTGGAATTTGGACACTCCCAATCCTGAGGACTCCGGACTTGATTTCACCTGGATGTTCACACAAATCAAGGATCACCATCATTTTATGCCCACAGGGGCACAACTATTTCCATTCTAAATGCAACTGAAATGTTTAATTTTGGAAAGTCCTTTGAGAAAGACTTCAAAGTTGCTTTTGAAATGTTACTTGGATATACATGCATTTTGATGTCCACTATGTTTGCTTCGAGATATCGGCTTGATGTTTGCAGGAGTGGGTACGATGGCCTAGAGGCGGAGCTCCCGCCTCACAATCTGAAGGCTGTGAGTTCGATCCCAGGGAGAGGCAGATTATTTCTCTCTTTCTGGGCACACTGAGAATATATCTCAGAGGTCTCCAAACTTGGCAACTTTAAGACTTGTGGACTTCAACTCCCAGAATTGCTCAGCCAGCTGTGTCTTAAAGTTGCCAAGTTTGGGGACCTCTGATATATCTGCTGGACAAAATTCCGCATTCGCAACAGGAAGGGCCTCCGGCTATGAAAACACTCTGCTAGCTCCATTCAGTTGCCAGACTCGTTAAATGGAGATGATGATTAGCTTGATGTTTGTTAGTCTATCTAACCCTGGCCTTTTAGAAAAGCAAGATGTAACCATGATTTGCGCTGCGAGATTATTTCCTTTCCTTGCAATCCCAGCTGTGGAATTTCCTGCCATAGAAATCTGCAAAAACGCAGCTGGTCAAATCAAAATACACACTACTCTTAAAAACGAAGCTAATATCGTTATACTCTTAAAATATTTTTTTCGTGCCATGTAAGCATTGTAACTACCATTTCAGCTAGTTCCCTTTGGCATCGAAAATTCACAGTGCCAATTATGTAAAAATTCATTTGTTGCAATATAAAACGTGCACAAAACAACCGATCTAGATTTGCACTGTAGAAAAGAACAAAGGTTTAAAAGTTTCTACTCAAACATAGAGGGTCTAATCACTTGCTGCTTTGAACTTATTGCAAATATAAAAAAGATGCATATTATTTAATCTTTCTGTGCATAGAAATACAGAAAAAAAACCACCATCTTGAAAAATCTAGATATTTTGGTTAAGCATACTGAAGCCCTAAATAGAGAACACAAATTAGCATAAACAGCAACCAACTATTTACACTAAATCATTAATATGGATTTCTAATAAGAAAATAGCTTCTTGTATTTTTAAATCAGCAATGAATATTAATCTGTACTGTTACTGTTCCCAATTGGATGAACAGGCAAATTATGTATCATTAGCTCCTGTATGGTACGTCAGTGGAACAATTCAGAAAATGTAACCATCATATACTGTATTATAAACAACAGAATAGGTGATTATTTTAAAAATGTATATATTCCCGTTCAACAGGATCTCCTGCTAAAACATTTACCCTGAATTGTTTTAACACATTTTCTACGCAGCAAAGATAAACGAACAAGCAAAAACAGGACCAAGTAATTATCACAGCGCTGTTGTTTTTGTAACATAAAGCGGATGTTGCAGATTTTACAAGCAACCCGATTAAATGTCTGTTAAAGATCAGCTCATTTTAGCTTGTGATTAAAAGCTGCAATGAAATGATGGGTAAAAAGACTGGATTCTGGCAATCTGCTTCACGTTAACAGATGATCAGACTAGGCATAATAGTTCATTTATTTAAGGTATTTACCTCCTAACTAGGGTGTGATATCACACCCTAGTTAGGAGGTAAATACCTTAAATAAATGTGATAGACAGAATTATCTATCACACCCGCACTGACAAAGAAAGCACTTGTATATTTCAGTTATTTCTTGAAGTTTATTTACTGTATTTTTGTGCAACCCATAAACAGAGAGCAAACCTAACTCCCTTCAAGCACTGAAAGCGTTAACTAGTTGGGTAATGAAATGTTTGCAAGAAAAGAACCAAGCTCAGAGAGCACCAAGGACCCCACAGTTCTCCTCCTCCTCCTCCTCTTCCTCCTCCTCCTCTGTCTGTCCAGAAACCCAACTCCCTTCTAGCATTGATGATGTTACCTAGTTGGGTCATGAAATGTCCACAAGAAAACCACCACCAAGCTCAGACAGCACCAAGGACCCAACTGTCTCCAAACAATCAAATAAGACCATAGCTGACTGATTCATGCAACATAACACAGGCAGAAGTCAGCGTAAGACAAGATCCAAACGACTTGATCTAAATCCAGCCACCTCTGAAGGAACTTCTTCAGGGAACCTCGGATCCTTTTGGACGTTAATGCACGAAACAAGATTCCAGAGTTAGAAGAATGACGGGGTTTGGGGCCCAGTTTGTACGCGTACGATTTAACAGGGGAAAAAAAATGTTTTTAAAAAGAAGAGGAAAAAACACAACCAGAACTTACAGCTAAAGTCTTTTCCCTCCGTTTCCTGGATGTCAGCAGGGCGGGATTCGATCTCGGCATCCAACAGGTTCTTATGTAAGGCGGATTTGGCCAGATTGGGTAAAAACCTAGATGCCACCAGGAAAAAAAAA